ACTGCAAACGCGCGCTTCTAATCTCGTCCCGAGAAACTGCCTGTGACTGAATTTAGCTCCAAGCATCTGTCATGTGGCTTTACTGATTGTTCGAGAACTGTTTTAGGTTTTGGTAAGAGTCCGGCCTGCTGCTTTCTGTCCTTTTTTTCTTCTTTTTTTTTTTTTTGAAGAAAGCAGAAACTCTTTTTATAGCAACACATCTTGGACAAGATATGACATCAATCTTGAACAAGTTCGTGTTTGACTTTTTTTTTTTTTAGAGCGTTGATGTTGGCTTCCCTTGTTAAACTAAACATGCACTGCCTTGTAAAAGTGTTTACACAGCATAAAGTTTTCCAGATTTATCACAGTGCAACAACAAACCTCAATGTACTTTACTGGCTTTTTACTTGACGTACCAACACAACGTAGCGTACGTGGTTTTCATGAGTTTTTGTGAAATACAATCTATAACGTAGTGCTCCTAACAGACTCCTTCACTTTTTACGTCCAGCTAAAATATAGAAGGCCAGACTGCGTGATGTAATGTTTACAGTAGATGTAACTTTCTGGCTGGTGGGTTAAAGGCTAATACACTGAAAATCCACCCCTCTTCTGCTAAAACGTTAAGAATTTCTTGCCACTAACGCACACCCAGAGCAACCAGGGTTTACACACGGATCACTGGGTTTCAGCCAGTGGTAGTTTCTTCATCAGCAAAGATGTAGAACAAAACTTAAAATGCAACACATGCCATCAATGTTTTTACGCAGTACCCTTGAAATAAGACAAAAATAACTCAAAGGTAACTGTTCAGCAAGACACATAAGTTTGTTTTGTAATAATCTGTGAATATAGATTAGAAAAAGTACTGGTTAAACTGGCAGATTTTTTCCCACCCATTAAAAGCAGGAAGACTGTCTTTCGTATTTGCAGAAGAAACCAGACAAAAATACTTGCAGCATAACGCTCTAGAACGTCTCACATTTGTTTTATATGTGACACTCATTTTCAGTCCAAGTTCACTTCGGTTCTATGTAGCTGGCTTGATTGAAGCCTGACTTTTGATGTATTATCAGCCAAAAACAGGCTCATAAGTTACTGAACTTGTTATGTGAAAGAGGTTTTAGTGGTGGCAGCATGATACTGTGGAGGCGGAAGCTTTTTTAATTATTTTTTTAGGAGATTCGGAGAATGCAATCAGAATTGATAGGAAGATTAGCTAAATGCAGACCAATAAGTAACCTGTTGGGGCTTTTAAAAATGACATAAATAGAACAACAACCCTAAATATAAAGCCAGAGTTACGATGGAAAATATTTAATTTAAAGCATTTTTCTGTGCTAAAATGATCCAGTAAAAGTCCACACCTAAATCCAGTTGGAGCTCTTTACAATTTCATTAATTAGTGGAGTCGTGAAGTCAGATTGTAACCCAAACATCCCAAAGGAGAAAGTCTGGCAGTCTCTCTGTGAATTGGAGGAAAAACAGGCTCTGATAAGAAGAACTAAAGCTGGTAGAGATGCACCAATAGCTCTGCAGCTGCACTTATAACACAGTATAGTTCCACAAACTGACTCTGAGAGCTGAATACAGCTACACACCACACTTTTCAGATTTAATTTGTAAAACATTTTGATCATCTTCCTTCCATTTTATAATTACACACTACTTTGTAATTGTAGATGTGTGCTAATTGAACCGCGCTAAAATTACTGAATGTGACAGCTGAGGATGTAAATACTTTCACAAGGTGAGGTGGTGAACAAGTTCAGGTCCCCCTTTAATTTGTCGTATTTCAATACTGTTAACACAATCCAGCCAAAAAGCTGGCGCACAGGCACTAGAGGGGAGCCTCAGCCAGTCTAGGATTGATGTGTCCCATCAACCCGAACAGACTTCGTGTCTAATGAGGAGGCTCTGCGGCTCTGTTGAGTCTAAGTTAACCACGTTTCCACCGGCAGAGCGGTCTCCAGATCCCCTCTCCAGCATCCCCACTCCTCCGTCTCCGGGTCCATGCAGTCCACACGGCTTCTCCGAGCCATTTGTCAAACCGTCGCAGCATTAAATTAGCATGGCCCAAGAGACAGAAGAGACCGAACCCCAGTCAGAGAGATATGGGCGTCCGAGACGGAGACCCGGATGAAAGATGGCCTGAGCAAAAAGTGGATGTTTGCTCGGGCCCGCGCTCCCTCGCTTCTGCAGCTTTATCATCAAAGTTTGAACAATGTCTGGCGAGAGAGGAGGAGAAGTCTCCCCCCACCACCAGCCACGGCGCTCGGTTCACTCCGGGTGTCATAAATCATCTCGTTTTGTCTTAACGCCGCTCACTTGTGGGGCTGACGCACCTCCAGTCTGCCTGACTGCTCTCAAAAGAAATAAAAACAAACACAGAAAGGATGAAGAATGGTGTTTTCCAGTGAAAACACCACAAAAAAAAAAGAAAAAAAAAGTTTTTATGTGACCCAGAATAATTTCATTTAGCTTGAAGGAGTTTTTTTTCCAGGCCATTTTTTTATTCTAAAACAGGCGCTGGATGAACTCAAACCAACAGGCTTTCGCAGACATGGAGGCTAAATGCTCTGCAGGAAGACATTTATTAGGACAGAAGGACGGAAATCTGAGTTCCTGGAAGATTTTATCTGCTGTTGCCTGTAACAGTTTGTGTGCAGTCTGCTTATCTCCATGTTTGCTCTTTAAAAGGAATTCGACTAAATGTTGAGCTGGATGCAGGAGCCCCTGTTGACTTCGCAGAAGGTTTTCTGAAAACAGTTATTTACGCTGTTAGACTCATGGCTTCCCCGCCATGTTGCTTTTTAAATAATAGAGCACAAATGACAACATACCCCCCCCCCCCCCCCCCGTCCCCCCCAAAAGAATACATTTATTTGTGTGTGTGTGTGTGGGTGTGTGTGTGCGTATATATATGTTCTTTTGAAAACAGAGATAAACAACATTTCTGAAGCCAGTCATCTCACTGGTATCCAAACATCTGCTTCATTCACTCCTCTCTTCCAAATGGCAACGGTATCCATGTTGGAAATATGCTCATCAGAGCAGAACAAATCACATTGTGCTGTACTCCACAGAGTTTTACGTAATACACCTGTGGATATTTTCTTCTGTCTGTGCAGCAAATAGGAACAAATATTAACTGTATATTAGCAAACCTGTGTGCATTGATCAGGTTTTAGCAGACTCCCCCCACCCCAGAAATCATGGATATCAGACATTTGGACCATTAACCGTTACAAAATCTCTGCAGCATTCAGCCTGCTGTTACCGAGAAGGAACATCCAAGGATAGCAACTATATTTATTATGTTTATTACGGAAGAGCTGCATAGCTTGTTTTATTGGATAAAACATTAGCATGCTTGCTCTAAAGCTCCCACTGGGGAGTGTCTAGTGGCTGTGAACTGCACAGTGACATTAACCAGATGCCTTGCGAAGGTAAAAAGGCCAAGTAACACGAAGATGTTCGGCTCTGATAAACTACTACACTCTAATGTTTGGTTTTTTGTTTTTTGTTTTGGTGAGGGGGGGTAAAAGCTTGGAGAGAAAAAAATCCCAGTAGCAGGCCATGTGTTGGAAAGATTTTAAAGCCCTAATTATTTCTCAGCAGCCAGAAGTTACAGAAACGTCTCACAGCGCTCTTGATTAATAGTTTTGTTATGCTAACAGAAGGTGATTAGCTTTCATTCTGGTATTTTTTTGCACCTGACTAGAAGAGCCGATTCGACAATGTTTAGGCAAAATAAAAAAAGAAAGAAATAACTGATTGTCAGTGTTCAACTGATTATCTGTTGTCTGTTTACCAAGACTGCCATTTTTAATCCAATAAAAGCACGATGCTTTTGCAGAACTAGAGCATCCTCTTCATCAGGCTGTTCTTCAGTCAGAGGCTTCTTCGTGTTCACTGGAACACTGATCACTACAGGACATCCCTCCTATCCACAGCCATTACCGGTTCTTTGAAAAATACCCCTACATAATTTGAATTCTCACAGTAATTAGGACTAATTGTGCTAAATTACAATACGCTACAGGTAGCTCCAAAACCTGCATCACAGTGACTCCTCTCACACACATGCTATAACGTTGCCTCTACTCCTAGCATTAATAATCAATCGCCTTTCACCACATAAAGGCTCTTGAGTGTCCCATACAACTAAAAGATTTAGTCATGGGGAAATAAATTAAAAATAAATACCCCCTTGTTAAAGCCTTCATAAATATGGGATATGCCAGACTTCATAGGGATGTTTGAGTTCACGTTCATTAGCCTATTTAAAGCCAGACCAAAATCACACAAACCCGTCTCACAAGTAGTCTGAAAGACATCAAAAGGCAACAGATTATGACCCGACCTAGGCCCATTCAAGAGCACAAGAAACAGACCTGAACATCTGTTCATTTGGAATGGGTTACATAGGAAGTTGTAAAACATTTTGAGCCCAAAGATTCATCTCAAACAAAAAAGTCTTGATCATCAAAATATTCTGTGAACTAATGAGATAAAACGAGAACTTTCTGAAAAGAGAAAAAGCAACAGAGTACTTCACCTTTTGGACATTTATTTATATAAATGATCAGGAATTCTGATTTCTACTCGTACAACTTGAAGAATCTGATTCACATACCATGGCGTGACCTTAAACCGTTAATTTATTCATTTACCACTATTCATGTTGTGGTGTAGCTAAATTAAAACAGTCTTACAAAGAAGAGTGGACCAAAACTCCTCCACGGACATTCAGAAGATTCTCAAAAAATAAACGCTGATTGGTTGGGGTAGCTTTTTTATTCTAAGAAATTAAGCAAAGCTTAGAAAACATTTTTGAATTTACTCCAGTAATCTTTGTGCGAAATTTGAAGCTTTTTGATGATCTGAAGAAAGAAAGAATCAACAGAATCCGAAAGAGGGCAAACACCCAAAAGGAATTTAAAAAAAAAATTTTTTTTTTACAACTCTGAAGAGACATAAATGTCTCTAAAATGTAATCGGTTCATCTCACTCACCATGCGGTGGACGTGTTGTAGGGCAGGAGCGTCGGACTGTGGCTCTCTCCTCTGAGGCTGTGTCTGGGTTGGTAGTGGCTACTGGGGACCATGGGCTGGGCTTGGGCCTGGACCTCGCTCTCCTCGGGCATGGACCGGTGCCACTGGTTCCGGGCCTTCTTCAGCCAGCGGCCGCCCAGACCCCACTTCTCCAGGTAGATCCGGCACAGCTCGTAGTTTATGGCTGAGTAGTAGAGGAAGTCCAGAGCCAGCAGCACCATGACGAAGAAGCCATAGATCCACACGCCTACCAGGGCTGTGTAATTACTGCCAGAACAGAGAGAGAGAGAGAGAGAGAGACGGGGAGCAACAGCACGGCTTTATCTGGGAAAAGATGATGATTAAGAGTCTTTACACGCTGAGAGCTTCCATTTTGATATTCTAAAAGCTAAGCTCCAAAATCCCGAAGGCTATGGTGGTGCTGCCAGGTGTGAACGTTTGCTATTCACTTGGCAGGACCAAGATGTTCATCCAATTCTCCCTTGGTAAACCCCCCCCCAAAAAACAGATAAATAAATATAAACCTCCATCTGTTCCCTTTGCAGTTTCTTAAAATCAGCTACACAAATTGGACAAAGAATTTAATTAGCACAAGAGACTTTTTTAAATCCCCCATCATTCTGGCTTTGACAAAAAAAAAAAAAAAAAAAAAACAACAACAACAACAAAAAAAACCCCAACAAACATCTCTGCTCTTATGTTTCACCTCTTACAATTTTTTTTTTTCTCCACGCGTTACATGATCCAGTTGTATTTATGTGGGTCACATTTGATCTATTTTAGTCTATCAGCATCTATAAAGTCTAACAAGGTAAGCGAGCAAAAAAAAACAAACACAAAAAAAAGTTTCAGAAAATAAGCTTCCCCGAGAAGTGGGAGACTAGGCCTTTGAGCAAACAGGGGATATTAAATTATCTCTGAATGTGACATTTCTGCTCGAGTTGGCACTGAGGGCATTTAGTCGGGGGAATATCCCACAAATGGATGAAAAGAAAGAAGAAAAAAATCTACTCTGACTCAGACGAGGAACTGACACTCAGTATCACTTGAAAATAGAGATTTATTTGGAGGGAAGCAAATTTTATTTGCCTCGCTATCCAATTACAGTAACTGCACTGATTAAGGGCGTGATAAACCGTGATGTGAAAATGCTTCTAGATTTAGCAAATCAAGTGAATCCTATTATGTTGTGAGATCTCAGAACCCTGTAGATATTAATCTGAAGAAATCTCTTCAAATGGATGTGCTGAGCTGCCCGGAGGTGCATTAGATGACTGCTGCCTCTGCTCTCAGATCTGCAGCAAAGCATGCTCACCTCACCTGCATTTTCCCACTTCTGAGTTTGAAACAAACAGTTATTAAATCTTGTGAGACGCGTCGAGGGAAAATGTTTACAGTACGGTGCTATATGTGTTTAGGAAGAAATTGTGCTCATTGCTAGGAGGAAATTGTCGACTTGTTATTAGATACGTAAACTTAAATCCCTCCAAGGGTAGATGATGCAATTCATCAGCTATCAACAGCTCCATCTTCCCTGCCTGTTTTTTCCCCCAGCATTCATTTTAATGTGACTCCACCAGTTTGCCTTGCAGCAGTCTAGAGGAGCTGCAAATATCCAGAACTCAGAAGAGAGAATCTGTTGACAAGAAAACTGGTTGTGCATCCCATCACCTTGATCTTTAAGAGTCAAAACAAACAACACACATTGTTGGAATAAAGTCATAAGAAGACATAACTGCAGCAGCTTACATTGTATGACCTTAATCCCTCTAAGGACACAGTGGAGAACAAACGTGTACTCTGACCAGATGAAATGGAAATTGAGATGTTGGGGTCCTTTTCTTTAGCTCAGAGCTGAATGCAGCAAACTCATCCTAGGAGGCAGAGACTGTAAGAAATAGAAGGCTGAGTTCAAGGCAGAGGTTCACATTCCAGCAGGACAACATCTCCGAAGCTGAAATAGAAGGCTTTTCAGATCAAAGCATATCCTTGTGTTTGAAGGGCCTATTCAAAGTCCGTACTGATATCCAGTTGAGGCGATGCTTGAAAAATGTCGCTCACAGACGCTCACTGTGAGCAACATGTTTATGTTTTCTCCTACATATTATGATGTTTCTAAGTTATTTAAGTGCCCAAAGGTCTGTATTATCATTATTATTATTATTGTTTTCATTTTTGACTAACCGGTCTTAGTCAGACCGGTTAGTCAAACCGGTCTGACTAACCTTGCTCTATTTAGCAAAGACGAACGGGTAAAAACGCCCATCTCTACTGATGTGCATGCCACACTATTAAGGCATTTATTTTTTCACCGTTTCAACTGTCCTATTTTGTGTTGAAGCACCACATAATACTTCAAAAGTTGTATTCGTAACCACTTTCAAAGTTAATAAAGTCGAAGGGGAGTAAATATTTTTTGCGATTCCTTTCAGCTCCTGTTTTTACCCTGCATACCCTGACGACTCCTTCAAAGGTCGAATGCCCTTTGGTGTTTAACACCTGCAGCGCAAAACCTCCAACCTGTAATAACATTTCCACCATGTGGTGTGAGGAGAGAGCAGAGTTGTGGCCATTTTTTCTTATTTCTTTTTTTTTTTTATATATAGCTTTGCCAGTGGTAAATATCAAACCCGCAGGCCCATCACCTTTTGAGCCAAGATGAAAGAATTGCTCACAGGGCTTTCCAATCCTCAAACTGAAATACCACGGCCTGCTGGGGGAGGGGAAGAGGGGCATTGTGAACCGACTGCATGCTGGGAGGGCATTAGTACAAAAAGCTGTGGTTTTGCCACCTAAACCTCCCACCGAGAGCTCCCACAGAACGAGAACCACCGTTTTTCTGTGTCCTTCATGCAGCAGAAACCACCTCAGCCTGCTAGCGAGAAGCCCGTCCTCCAAGTACATCGTACCACGGCTTGCCAGTACGGACCTAACTATTAATCCTTTCCATCCAACAACTGTATTTTGATAGAAACTAGACAGAAAAAAAAATAAACAAAACATAAAAGAGGACAAAGCGTCGGAGCAGCAGTGTTCCGGGCAGGTGGGCTGATCGCCACAAGTGCTTTCAGTCTCTGCTCTTCACTTTCATGCTTTTGAATGGCTCTCTGTAAGCTGCGGCTCAATGTCGACGAACCTCTTCAGCAAAAGGTGAACTGGGTCAATGAGCGGGACGGCGAAGAGAAAGTCGGTCCTCTTGCAAAAGTTGCAGTTTAAAACCTTTTGGTCCAACATAGCTGTAGGCGGAGAGTCGCTGAAGAATCACGGCCTCCACCTCTTGTTTATGCCTCCATTTTATATCCATGGTTTGGCTCCTTCCTACATACACTTCATATCAATAAACAAACCATTTGCAAGCCCCAACTTACACCATTGCGAATTATTTACTTTAAAAAAAAAATCTATTTAAATTTTTAAAAATCATTTTAACAATTGATCATATTTGTACCTGTACATTAATTTCTCAAAAGCATGCACCTTTTCTTGTCATTTTGGAGGAGTCATAAAACCACATTTCCCTGCAGTAGACCATAGATGATAGATTATTACTTTAATTATCCAATTGGTCGGTATAAAAAGTCCAGAATGTTCCATTCACTTGAACAGGTACAAAATAACAAAGTAATGAACTGACCAGCACCCATTTCAGTCAGCCAACACGAGCATAAAATGAAGAAAAAAGCTAGGATGTTGGCGTTTTCTTGACTGATGTACTGTGTGTGTGTGTGTGTCATGTTTAGTAACAGCTGGGATGAGCCAGACACCCCTCCTGTGACCACGAACAAGCCAGCGAGGAGAATGAATAAGTAAATGAATGAATGATGTCACTACACGATTTATGCATTTATAGCCTAACAGCCTAACAGTGTTTGCTTGCTCGGTCTGACACAAATTTTCCCAAGACCGTGACATATATTTACTAAAAAAACCCCCAAAAAAACAACGTGATGCTTTGTTGACTTTGTTTGGAAGCAATTTGGGTCGCTTTAATCAAACACTGGTGACCCAGTTTATTTTATTAGAGAAGAGACCAGAAAGTTCCTCGTCGTCCTTCATTTTTAACAAGTTGTACAGCAACCTGATCAAACTCCACGGAATCTCTTTAACAAGATGGAATAAGAAGTGTAGATGTAGACAATGTAGATGTCACTGGGTTGTCATAGTGATTCTAGTTCACAACTGACTGAATATTATTTGCGTCCTGCACAAAAAGAAGCCAGCAAAACGCTGGCTCAGTTCATCTTACGCATTTTAACACGTTTGAGCCGAAACTCAGCTCCATACATCTGCATATATCCAATCTCATCTTGTTTGGGTACTAAATTATGAAACTAGGGCTCCTGAATTTGCAACACGCAAACAGTCTTGCTTGAATTCAAGCAAGAATTTCTTCTTGTTTCTTTAGTTTAATAAAGAAATATTCCATTCACGCTGACAGGCTTCCACACTATGGTGGAGGCCGATGGGCATACTTGGAAACCGGGGTCCAAATTAAAATTTTTCTAAGGACCTGATACAATATCGACTCGACTCTGCTCAGTATGCTGTTCTAAAGCCATAATCCAAGCCTGCGGTATTAAATCAACCCAGTCTGTCTTTGATCTAAGACTATGTTCCCAAATACAACCCTCATCTTGGGTTTATTTTTAACCTTTCTCGTTCATAGGTGTGTGACTTTTCAAAAGTGCTATAGAGTTTTGGCACAATCACCAAGAGTATGTCAAGATCCCTTTATGTTTCCTTCTGCACAGAGTGTTGAGGATGATTTAAATGATAAGAGACATTTATTATAATATTTCACCCTGATTAAACTTACAAATCTTTTAAAAAGCCTTATCAGGAAAAAGGCACCGAGGCAGTTTAATGCGGACTTACTTGTGTGCGTAACCGTCCGCGGTGGTGGTGAGATTGACCTGCATGACCATCTGAAACTCTGTGTCGTTGCAGCAGTACTTGAAGGCCGTGTTGTTGTGGTGACAGCAGAACATGTAGGTCTTGTTGTCTGAGAGGCGTGGGCAGTGGAATCCAAAGTGGTACCGCCCTTTGTGGTCGAAGTAGGGTTCGCACACCCGGTAATGAGCCGAGAGAGCTGCAACGTCGGAGGAGAACACGACAAGTCATTGTTGCTGTTCCAGATCCATCCACTCAGAGCAAATGCAACTCATGACCTTTGAGGCAGAAAATTGTGTTTATCTCCCGGCTCTGAAACCCCTTATTAGATTTATTGATGGAATACTGCTCTTAAAGGAAAAGTCTCGCAGCCTGCAGCTGCTCCACCGGAAGACCTCTGAATACTTAATGTTGTTCTTTTTGTTTGGTTGTTTGCTTTGGAAGCTGCTGGACACAGAAAGACTCCATGTGATAATATGAGGTACGCAAAAAGAACCAAGTATGAACAGTATCTGGCAAAACCAAACACAGTCCTCGCTCGCGTAGTTATTTCACATGATTTGAAATAATTACCGACAAATTCCTGGATTGTGTTCTGGTAGAAGCTGGAAGGACAAAACCTTACAATTTGTTTAAAAAACCCCCCAAAACCCTCCCTCTGTTTTATGTGGAATCTGGAGGGACAAAGTTAGGAAAGGAGGCTCATCATAAAGTAAAAGAAAACCACACTGAGCAAATGGTAATTCTTGCTCATTTGCATTCCTATATAACTATGCTGTCAAGTTCTTTCAGCGTCAGAGCGAGATAAATATCTGCATTCTTGGTGTTTACTGGGAAAAAATGAAATAGTGTAGCTTCTGCAGTCGAATCGGGCAGGAAATAACCTTTTTGTTGACATTGAAATCTTGGGAATTGACTTCAGCGTGAGCTCAGACTCCATCTGATAGCAGAGCAACTCCATAAGAACAAAGACTGTGACATTAAAACACGCCACAACTCTTCCACTTTTGTCCTCACTAATCAGCGCCAGCTACTTAGCATTGTCTGATCTTTATTACCAATAATAAGTGCATGAAAACATATTGCAGCTCGCAGTGAGACAGCTGTGCTGCGCCGTGGCGGTATAAAAACTGCACAGAGGACATTTATTCACACACTTAATGAGCTCAAGCACTTGCTCTCTTACACGTTAGACTTGTGCGTACTCATAAAGAAAACTGCTGAGGCTGCCGACATGTGTATCTCTTTAATAATATTCAATCTTTGTTTGAACAGAAGGAAAGAGCAGAGAGGAGTCGACAGAGAACAGGACAGGCCGTGAAGCGGCTCTAAAGGCTGACAGGGAAATAAGGAAGAAACCTTGCAAACATATCAATGCACCATTCTGACATATTACGACCACAGACGTCAGCGTTCCTAATCAAGATTCTCTGATATTCCAACACAAAATAATGCGTAATTGTGAAGTTTGCTTTTTAGTTTTCCCGGATTAATCCTCTTTTTGCATGATCTGTCACTGAACGGCTGGGAATGCTGGGTGTGAAGAGAGACACCAGAAGCCTAGAAGATAGTGTTATATATAAACTGGTTTATCTTCTCCACGACTTCCTCCCTGACCTCTCTCTCTCTCTCTGCTCATTCATCTGCTCAAATTAGTAAAGTAGTGAGTAAATTCTAGGATTTTTCTTAGGGTTATTAGTGTAAAGGGAACTCAGTACAAATCCATGAAACATAAAAAAAAAAAAAAAAGAGTTATTTTATGTATTGTTCCAACTTGTTTGTAGATATGCTAATATGATTTGTTGCTCTCTCTGTGCCTCATAATCATCAGACAAAGCATGAATAAAAGGACGCCTGTCGACGTGTCGTGCTCTCGTGTCACTTCGGGTGTAAGTAACTTGTCTTTCTCTCGAGAAAGTCTAAAAATCTGCTGCTCCTCACGAAGCTACTGCCGCTGCGGCACACACCCACCTGCTTAATTTCATTAACACCTTCTGGGATTCAGGCCGCCATTAACAGCTGGGCTCTCTTCGACGCAGTTTGTTTACAAGCTGAAAACCACCACGGCTCTTTGCAAGCGGAACAAAAAGCCTCTGAACGTCCTGTTGATCTATCGCTGCTTTCACATCTATACGTTTCTTGTCTCTTTTGCTCTGAGGCATTAAAGCAACATGTCTGATTGAGTTAAAATCAGAGTTCACCAGTTAATTACTTTGAATTTTACGTGGATTTGGCGTGACGTTTTACATTTTTGACTGTAAATTATTCTTGGACATTCATTGCAGCTCGCATTGACTAACTCCCCTATTCGGAAAGTTGACAACTTATAAAGTAGACAACTAAGTCACTGTTTTGGTGAGGTCGTCACAAAGCCCTGATCTCAGTCCTACAAAGGGTTTATGGGTGAATCTGGCGAGGAGGCCTACAAACCTGACTCGGCTCCACCAGTTCTGTCAGAAGGAAGTTTGAGAAAGAAAACCCAAGACTATTGAAAGACAATGCTGCCAAATACTCAATCAATGTATGTCAACTTCTGACTTTGGAGATCTGAACAAACACATTTTTGACATATTCTTTCCCTGATTAAGAGACATTTAGCAACAGAGATAGTTTTGGTAATTCAAACTGATGCAAAACATGATGTTTGGTCTGACTTAACTTCAGACAAAGGAAAGCTGTTTGTCTTTATTTGGTGCATAAACTTCTACCAACTTTATATATACCTGAAAACATTGAATGAGCAGCAGATAAAAGTTTTAAAATGAATTTAGTGTATATAAGCATTCTCTGTTGCTTGTTGATTACAGTTTTCCTTTTTTTCAACAAACGCAGCCCCTTTTTGGGCTCTTGCTACCAAATACGACAACATTTTGGCTCTAAACGCAGGATTTGTCCTCACATCGACTCTTCTGACCCTCAGAAATCTGAACCGTATTTGGCAGCATTGTCTCCCAGTTTTTCCCGACAAAACGTTTGCACATTTTGTTGTTTTCTCTGCATTTATGTCTCAACATTACAAGCTTTTTTTTGTCTTTCCTGAAACAAGGCCTACCTTTTAGAGCACAGGGACGAACGTCCCCTGAAGGTCTCACACAGCTGTCTGCTGAGTTTGTCTAATGAGACAAACTTTTGAGGAGGGCCGGAAAGGCTGACTCACTGATGGACACAATCCTGACTTTTACATACCTGCAGTGGACAGCAGGAGGAAGATGACCGTCAGGACATTAAAGGACTGCCGGCTGGTGATAGTCATCTTCTTGTCCTCATATGGGAAGGAGGATGGGAGCAGGTGCGGAGGATGGGAAGGGGGAGGACTGCTCTGTTTTAGCTGGATGTGGGCATCCTCTGCATGCTGACAGCTCCTCTCACATGGCTGCTGCTGGGAGACAGGACTCCTGATGGGAACAAGACAAGCGGGGAGAGAAAAGATTAAGATATCTGATGCGGGTTTCTGGACGTTCTACCTAAACTGGGCCGACAGCTCGCCTGGCAGCGAACGCTGGCGACGGTGGCTCCCTAAACGTGTCCAAAATCTGGTATGAAGAAATAGCTCGGCGTTCGGCTTGATTGTAACGAAGAAATTTGCCGCTCAGGCCGACTTATAAATATCAGCAACTTCAAGCAATCGGCCGGAACCGACACAAAGACGACAATCTGACAGCTGGATTATTTCAGCAGGTTGCCGCAGTGAATCATCTGTGTCCTTACGTCCATCCAGATGTCATTTTGACACATTCCTCCTACCGCCAATGTATTATTTGGGAACATCATCAACAGTTCCGTCTCCCAGTGGTCACTGCCTCCCCACCTGGAAGGATAATAGAGCCGGCAGAACCATAAAGCTGATCAAGAGCCAATGGAAGAGTTCCTCAGTACCGGATGCACTTCTTATCACCATTCTGCAACGATAGCTAAATTAAACACAATTTTCTATGCATTACTTCTCAAAGCAGTTTGAAAATCAAAGTGAAGGGCCCAGAGTGGACGTGTATGCTGCAAAGTATTGTTTTTAAAAAATATGGGCAAATTGCCCACAAAATAAAACATATTAGTGCTCGTCGTTAAAACTGATGAAATGCAGAAAGGTTTTTGTTTAGAATCTCTATTAGGAATTCACTTCAGTAGGTCCTAATTTTTATTCCTTGGGCAGATTTCCATGAATCTGCTTTACGCTGACAAATTTTTTTGCTCTCCGCAAAACACTGAAAACAGGAAGGAAGATTAGGTGTCAAAATATATTTTTTATTACGAGTGGTTTCGTCGGCAACGTCTTAAAATTAAACTTTAATCTGTTTTCTCCACCCCCACTTTTTTATGTCAGAGGGAGAAGAGATAAATCAAAAGCTAATCTGTGACTTCGTTTGAACATGGAAATTGTGCAAGTAATGCAATAAAAGTGCAGCGTTCTGAGAAACAACAACAAAAAAGTGATGTTTGCATCAAATATGTAATACATTGCAGGGAATCCTCGCCTTCAGCGCAGCATCAGAGTTCAGATCGGGAAGCTGCTGAGGAGTACGTTGCTTCGAAATGATGCATTGTGGGAGGTCATTCCACCGCTTCCTTTCCCATGGATCCGATCTGCACCTTTAAATATTCATGCGACAGTTAATTTCACTGCTTTGCCTTCAAAAGTGACCTCTAAACTTTTCACTGCTTTACAGCTGCAAGTTCACAAAGAGGGGAAATTTGAAATCCCACCTCATCCAAGCGTGGGTTGCAAGGAGAGAGCGTTGAAAAAAAAAAGGAAAAAGTTGACTGCTGAATTATTGACAAGGGAATGGCGGCTGCCAGGGAAAAAGAAACCACTTATATGAGTGCAGAAGGCCACCAGTGCAAATATATATATATATATATATATATATATATATATATATATATATATATATATATATATATATATATATATATATATATATGAGGCCCATATTCAGTTCATTGTTGCATCACCATCTTTTGATGTTTTTTTTTTTCTTGCGCCATTCAAACCGGGAATGCAGAATATCCATTTGGAGAGAAATTGGAAAATATTTTTTATTGAAGGTATGGTCTGAATTTAATGTTCAGAGAGGAAAGACTGCAGCTCCATTCCGTGTCATTTAAATGAATAAAAAACAAAACAAAAAAACAATCTAATCAGGGAATCATCCCGTGATTACATGTGAAATATTTAAAGATAAGAGACTAGCAGATAACAATACAGTGCACACGTTTACACTGCTGCGATTATTCCCATAGCAGAACGATGAATGCCGTTGCTCTGCTGCATATTTTGTACTATTTTCAAAGATGTAAAGATCTTGACTTAAAAGACCTTAGTGATGAAAGGAGCAATGAGAAAGGTGAAAGTTTTTTTTTCTCTTTTTTTATTTAACAAATGCAGAGACAGAGCAAAGTTATAACAAAGTCAACATTTTACATTATTCATGGAGCAGCAGTCATCTTTTCAAGTGCAGTGATGCTGTGATCACTGATCATCGAAATGATGAGGAAGCCAAACAGGCTACATGCAAAATGCTCCAATAAGCAGCGCAATCAATATGCGCTTTAGCTGGATTCAACAGCTGCATATATTTGCGAAGACTTTTTAAGAGCACTGTATGAGACGTTCGGCAGTGTAATAAAGCACAGATTATATCTGCCTCAGAGCAGACCTCTAAGTTGATAAATCTGGCTCATAAATCAGACTGAAGGTGCTTAAGAAACTCATACATTTCTTTTACAAATATTCAAGCGCTGGACTGAAAACAAGTACAAATACCAGCCAAAGTATGTGAAGCTTTAATCAAGGTCATTCGAGGACTGCAAAGACAATTGGCTTAGGCCAAGACTTTTACATGACATGAGGAAATAATGAAGATTTTGTCTAAGAGTTATTCAAAAGAACCAGAAAGTAACAACATCATAATTAAATCCTGATTTTGTTTTTAAATAGACATATTTTTTACTTTCTTGATGTCATTTTATTTATTTATTTTTTACAGTCAACTGGAAAACACACAGAATATACCTCTGGTCTTTTTTTCAGTTATTTTAAAAGAACACTGCAAGCACAGGTTTTTCTTTTTACTTCCCCAACAACTTGAGTTCAGAAGAGGCTCATGGCAATTTTCACACTATTCACACTTCAGCACAACTTGGCTGCCAAAGCTGAAATCCTCCTGGCTGCAGGCTGTTTGGGGAAAGTTGCATTAGTTGGGTCCAGCAGACCTTCACAGCATAAGTACTTCTGAGATCCTTTAAAAGTACCCTCAACTCAACAGCTATAAATCCAATTAATTGCCGTAATTTGGGGGAAATGTCAATTATCTATAAATGCTTATATGCAGGTCAAAAAGCGTTTTGCTTTAAATGTGTGAGGCAAGAGATGCATGGCGGAATCTGCTGTTTTGAACCAGTTTTGAGCTGGATAAAAACTCGTTTGCGATCAGATATTGATATGTAAGAGCTCCAGGTCACACTGACAATACTCTGTGGCGTGGATGCTGTTACTGAGTGACGCAAAGCAAGCTGGTGGGAGCATTCCTGAGATGCTATCAAAGAAGAAGGAAGCAGAAATGTAAGACGGTATTTGATAAATTTCTGATCTCGAAAAAGCAGTATGAAACTTTTAAAAAATTTGTTTTTTTTTTTGTTAAAACTGTCACAATGACATGACAGTGTGACATGAGACAGATAATCTGTGAGCAAATCGAGCTATTGCCATCTGCAGAAATATACAGCTTGGTCAGAAACAACAAATCAGGAGGAGTATCTATAAGTTCCTCCTGATTTGTTCAACTTGTGCACCCGCTGCTTACACCCTACCTATTGCTCTTTGCTACTCTACTATAGGTTTCCCACAGCAGAGCCTGCCATGAATGCTAAGGTTAGACAGCATGACCACTAATAATGGCAGATAAGAAGTTTTCCTGTAAAAGTAAGTAGTTTCTCATTCATTAGCACAATCAGTAGCCCATACATGAGATTGATTGACAATGCCGTGGAGGAGCCTGAGGTTTTTTACTAAACATCTGTCTTGTACCAAACTGTCACAATATAGTGAGAGTTTGAACAAATATATAAAAGGCATAGTTTTTTTTATAAAAGTTACATGCTGCAACTTTAACCATGTCTTTGTTCTTATTATTTTACACATTCTGACATTGTACCTCTTAATGCACTGTTGTTTGGTATGTATCTTTCAATGATTTTATGTCATAAATGCCTCTTTTGAAGATGAGAACTTATGTCTTTATTCTGGATAAATAGAGGTTTAACAATAATCATAATAATAAGTTTTTATCTTCAAAAACAACACCAGCATGGTATACCGTTTTTTATTCAGTTGGCAAGAAGTGCAGTGGGCCCTGTAAAAATAGCATTGTCTCTTGTAATAAAAATATCATCATGTGACCAGAGCTGCTAAACCCGCAGCCACAGATGTTCGCCAGCATCAGGGCGAGTTCTCTCCTGACCTGATCCGATTAAACGAATGAGCCCAGAGACCTATGAAGACCTCCTTCTCCAGTCTTGCTCAGTCATCCTTGTTCTGTTTTATGCAAAACCATCTGCTGTCTTTTTTATTGCGACCAGAAATCACATTTTATAGAAAACCTACACTACCCTAATGGAGCCCCCTGCAGTAGATAAACAAACATGCTGGAGGAACGCTGTACCTGCCAGAGTTTTGCTTCCTCCGACTGAAGGCTGCACATGATAACCAAACCAATCCGTGAACGTAATATGAAGAATGTGTTTGTGGAGCACAGCAGGCTTTGTGTGCTGGATTCTTTAAACACTTCTTTGATCAGTGACGCTCTCTTCCTGCTGAAGAGACGCAGGCGGCCGGGGTCCCAAGAGCCTTGTTAGAGTGGCATTTCATATAGATTTTCCCAATCTTTTTATTTCCGCTCCGACTTTATCGCAGCGTCAGACGACAATACGTCGGCTTAGGCATGGAATTCCGGTCTTTTATAGACACTCTTGCGTCTGCTGTGGTCTTTCACATGACTTGTTCAGGAGGATTTATCTGGTTTACATGGAGTCACAAAATTTACACGGCTGTTCAGCCATGAAAGGTTCAAGGTTCACTTCTTCTTTGTTTGCATAGAAGAAGTGAGGGTTTGATGGTTTTGTGTAAAGAGTCTGATGGTAGTGGAAGCAGAACATGGACTGTAAACAAGCAGGAAGGCAAATACAGCATGGAAAAAAGTGTACCGCTTCCTGGGAGGGAAAGTAGAGCAGCAACGCTTGTGCAACATGCAGCTCAAGAAGATGTCAGTTGTGTATTATTAACCTTTTATTCTTCTTCAAAAGTTCCGAACACAAACATGTAAAAATAAGACCTTTTATTTAATCAAAAACCCAGGGAGTTAATTTATGTGTCTACGTGCTCTTCACCATAGCCAAGAAGAAGAAATGAATGTGAAGTGACCAATTACTGCGGCAACCACTGTGAAACCAACACACTTTTCATCACAACAGCACGAGACCCAGATCTGTCAGTGGTGTAATGAGGAAATGTGTTGTGGAATATTTTGGGCTATTTGGAGATTAGACACAGTGATACACTGGCCATATCTCATAAATGTCCTGCTCCAAGTTTTAGTTTTGTTTGGGTGAAAACTTCGAAAACTTCAAAGTATGTGACTTGTTAATATGCTCTCTAAGAAAAGAAAAAGTTAGCTGTGTAGTTTTAATTAATTTTTTTTTTTTTTATCTAAGCAGCTCTTAAAGTTACAACTTTTTATTAATAGAGCAAAACACTAAAGCCTCTTATTTTAAGCAGCAAGGTCCAGATTCTTCTCCATGCTGCTGCGGTGATCTGAATACATGTTTATGTGGAGAATCAATCACCACTAAGCTCATGAGCCTGAGAGAGCATTAGGAGTCAGATGCAGGCTAGAGATGGGACTTCATTTTCACATGATGAGGGCCTAGGAGTGGCTCTGCTGATGGGCTTCTGTCCAAGGGCTGATCAACCGCATTAAGCCCTGCGCCTAATTAGTGCTTCTTTCCGACTGTCGTCGTAGTAAATTGGCTTTCATTCACTTTGTATGCCATCACAGCCTCTCTCAAAAGCCCTTTCGAGTTTCGCCGTAACATGAGACTTGTGCTGCGATCTAATCATTGTAATGTGAGGACGAACTGCGTGGAGAGCAGCTAACGGAAACTGTCAGGAATAGGTGCGGATTTACTTATCGGCGCACAAAACTTTACACTTATCTTGTCTGGGTGATGTCAGTGACGTAGCGGCTTCCTCTAGACGCAGCAGATCAACAGCACTTGAGAGAGGAGAGCGACACTTGAGGACACTTGTGGCTGAGAAGACGTCTTTGTCAACAGTGGCTCATCATTAGCTTGCGTTCGCTCTGGCTTGAGTTCGTTCGGTCTCCATGGAAACCAGCTCGTTCTCGGGGCGCCAGTGAGTCTTTCTCAGACTGTGGTCCGCGGGCGTCCCCTACTGGCCCGCAAGGTACTGCATGTAAACGGCGGGGTTTTTTTTAGTGTTCGACACCGGAAGTTAGTTTATCATGGGATTGCAGTTAAAAATAACAGCGTGTGAGTGACGTAAAACCAGATCACGTCAACATCTATGATCATTTTAATTTAATTAAACATGATTTATCGGCAAATAAATACAACAGATAAATACAATTTATAGAAATGGGTGAATAATTGTGCAGAAGAGCA